TGGGCCCAGAGTGCGGAGAGGGCGGTGATCGTTCGTCTACCTTCTATTTTAGTCATGCCCGTGGATGTTTCTGCACACCTTTCCCCTGTTCTACCTAGGAGGAGACGTGATTTTAGCATCACTGCAGCTATTGCCGCCGTTTCAATAGCGGTGGCCGCGGCTGCGGCTGCTGCCGTCGTTGCTGTCACTCAAGCTGCTGCAAATACGGACACTATGGACAATTTAGCTGCCGGAGTTGCTTCTGCGTTGTCAACACAGTAAGATATGAATGGACATTTGCGGAATGGACTTTTTGTGGTTGGTCAGCAGATAGCTCTAATGTAAAAAGGGATAGACACACTTTTGTTAATTGCTCACATACCTTGTAACCCTCTGTACAGTTTTATTTGTGTTACCCCTGTTATGGGTGAGGGTCTCATTGCCTGGTTTAGAGGACTCCTCTCAGAGTTGTAAGCTTGGGGCAGGGTGATAGCCTTAGCTCTTGGCTTTTTGTGCATTCGGCTTGTGGTTTCTCCGTCGGCTACGGAAGTAAAACAAAGAACTATTGTGCTATTGCGATCAGGCAAGTACTTGGCACCATGGTACTTGACCAGGACTCCCCAGTGGCACCTGGATGGGTCACCTTAGTCTTAGAGAACCTGTGAGCCAAAGACGGGTAAGGGCGTAGCCCGTCCAGACCAACCTAAGACAGCGGTCCGGACCAAGTGCGCCGGATTAGCGATGACGGGTGAGGCTGGTTATGGGACGTGCCAACCTAAGACAGGCCAGGTGTCTCATTTAAAAGAAAAAATGGGGAGATGTCCGGAGCCATCCGGAGCATGTGCCGTGTTGCGTATGTGTGCCATGAGTTCGCTTTACCGTTTCGCCTTCAGAGAACCACAGGTTTTTCCTGTAAAGCACATGAGACTGGGAGGTACGGGGGGAGGAGCTACGAGGGTATAAGAGGAGAACGTGGGAGAGAGAGGGAGAAAAAAAGAGATTTAAGAGGAGAACCACGAGAGAGGAGAGTGCTGGGAGAGGAGCAGAGAGAAGGCCAGGGAAGTAAGAAAGACAGGGAAAAGGAAAACATGTAAAAGTAGGAAAAGGATAAAGGAAAAATAAAGAAGCAACCGCTAGCGTCAAGTTGTATCAAGCCCCTCATTTCAATCCTCAGCCCTTCTCTTTTCGTGCCTCCGAATCCCGTGGGTCGGGACAAAAGATAATGTATTACAGCCATTGTCACATCTCTTTGGTTTTCTTTCATCTAGAATAGCACCCTGCCCCCAATTTTTTGGCCCTTCATGGCATCTTTTTAAGAAATCAGATTTATTGAGGCATAAAGTATTAGCACGCTTTATCTTATTCTCACCTGATATAGAAAAAACATGTCAGTGTAGATAGAGTGTTGAAAACGTGGAAAAATATTAACAACTGGAGAAATTTTTGTAAATGGTCTTCAGATATTCTCTACTCATCTTTCAACTCTTATATAGATTTAGAATTTTTACAAATAAAAATTGGGAGACTGAAAAAAAGGGAATAGTCAATTATGTCAAATACTATTGCAAAGTCAGGTAAGATGAAAATGGGCATGGACACATGACCTTTGGCTTTAGAAAGAAACTTGTCACTGGTGGTACTTTTGCAAAAGCATTTCAGTTTAAGGGTAACAGCTACATTAGAGGGAGCAGAAGAAAGAATGGGAGAAAAGCACATGGATTCAGTACAAGTAACTCGGTTTTTCTATTGAAGGGCCATAGAGACCCTTGAGAGATAGGATGTGGAGTTAAGAGTCTCCTCTACCCAAAGGTAATATTGAGACATTTTGATTGTTGCCGGGAATGAGCCAGTAGAGAGAAAATAATCATTACAGAAAGGTAGGCAAAGCAAAGACTCTGAAACTGAGAAGGAGCTGGGATGCAGGGCCAAAAAGGAAGGCTTCACCTTAAAGGGTGATGATGACAATAATGAAAAAGGTGGTAACACAGTGACTAACCTGAAAATAGTCAGGCACTACTTAAACCATCTTTACTCAATTCTCATAGCAACTTAAGAAGATATTATTATCTCCTTTTTATACACGAGGAAGCTGGGGCACAGAAAAGTTAACTAATATGCCCAACAATACACATCTTACAAACAGCAAAGTTGGGATTTAGAACCAAATAGAAGGGACTTTTCTTCCAATGCAATGAGAGGGAAGATAGACTCTGCGGGTGTAGACACAGCTGGGCTGCTGGAGTGGAAAGATGGAGTAGCCCTGGTATGAGGACATCTATTTTCTCAGCATTGCACTTGGTGAGTTCATCAGTTGAGGAGGTAGAGAGAAGGGACGTTGGCGATTTGAGAAGAAAAGGTGAGAAATTCTTGTTTCAGACTAACTGTATTTACTAGCAATGACTGACAGGATTGAAAACCCCTTTGGAATTAATGGTCTGAAATCTGGAGTGAATCTACTTGCCCTGACTATTTGGTATTTTCTATCACTTTTCAGCTGCTTGTGAACAGGCATCAAGATGACAGTCTAGGTTTAACTAGGGTGGTGGTATTTCTACAGACAAGTGGAACCTATAAAAAAAGGAATGAGCACTTCCTCATTCAGGGCATAAGGGGACGTTGCACGAGAGGGGTGGTAGGATAGGACATGGGACCTAAGTAGGGAGGCAGAGGTCACTGAGGATGTTGATCGATACAGAAAAAGTGGGAAGGTCAGAATACTGGAGATTTGTGAGGGCAGAGAACAGCATGAGTATGGGTGTTGTAGGAAGAGAGTGGGAAGCTGTAACTGCAGATTCAAAGGTGCCATTATGAGCTGAGGTGGCTCAGAAAAAAAGGTGACGGGCCCAAAAGAAGCTGGAGTACTTGATGAAGCCTCTGTGTGGGCAAAATTATACAAGGGATGACAAAAGTAGTAGTAAAGAGTCATCAGAGAAGGCGCAGTAGAATACAGCAACCATGGGGGAAGTGGAGTCAGGTATGATGTTACAGACCAGAAAGATACAGGGGAATTTGGAAGTCATAGAGGGGAGCAAGGAAACCATGTACCCCACTGGCCGGTTCGGTGGTCCAAGAAGCAGAGGGGAAGCCAGGCTTTATTGGTTAGCGCCAAGAAGGAAAAGAAACTGTTCAGGAAAGGGATGGAGGACATAGCACCAGACTTGCCACATAGCATTTACTCATTCAGTATCTCCTGAATTTCAACCTGAACTTTTCTAATAGCTTACTATATTCTAAACAGGAACAAAACAAAACTTATTTACAAAGAAATTCAATCAGATTAAAGAGGAAACAATCCTCTGAGAATTATATTTTTCAAATCCATGAAAGGCTCACTTTTAAAAATTAGTGCATGGCCAAGGTAAACAGAGGCAAACAATATCTTATTGGTTTTGGCTTAGTATAAATGGATAGTTCATTTTTATAAAGTAAAACCAGCTTTCTCTTGCAGAAGAACTCAATACCAGGATAAAAAAATCAAGTGAATTCTGCTTTGCTGAAGCTAAGCTAACAGCCTTTCTGAGCATGAACTGACCAGAAGGTAAATCTATCATGACTCAAGCAGAGAAATCTAGGTGCCTATGGAACAAATGACATTTCATAAATGCTTTCTTTGTTGAAAAATACAGCACAGTTTGGCATATACAGGCCTTCCTGTGATTGTGTGATTCTCCAAGAGCGCTTCAGAGGGGCACCTTTACTCAAGGAAGATAAATTCTTCTCAATGTCTCTATAAGACTAAGGAAATATTATGATTCTTCTATACCATAACAAAAAAATTGTTTTATATATATCAATAAGTTTGCCTCCTAAATATTCTAGTAAGCCGTCTGTATACAACTCATTGAAATTTTACTGTCTTCTGTGGTCTTAAGGTGTATAGTGGATTTCTAACACTATTCCCCTAAGTTTTACTGGAATTTATTTAGAATCCCAGTGCTCTGTTTCATAATTGAATTTGGTGGTTTTATTGTGATCATCAATCAGAATGTGGACTGGTTCAACTGTAGGTCAAAGGACTTTTCATTTTTCTCTTACTCATGAAATATGAAGTTCTTACCACTGGAGAAGAAATGTACCTGTAATGTTCTGTTATACCAGACAAAGGGAGTTCAGAAGGATGGTTACTCCTCCTGGTTTCATCAGAGCCTCATATGATGTGTCAGAGAAAGTAATTAGCCAGCAAAACACACTGCTCTCTCACAGCACACAGCTGGCATTGGGAATAAGCTATTTCTCTGTCCCAGGAAGAACCAGCAGGAAGAAATCTCTCCTTTAGTAGATGTCATTAGTATTTTGTATAGTCAGTATGGGACCTTCTCTTTGAAGTATAATGATTTCTGTACTTGTCTTATTTTTCCTTCTAACTATAAGCAAGTACACTGTGCTTTAACATAAGTGGATAATTTCAAAGTATTATTTGTATTTTATTTAATATCCAGCACTAGTGGTAAAACAAAATACAACAGTAAAATTATCAGAATCAAATTTATCAGCATTATGGATTAAATGTAACTAAGAACTTTAAGATTTAGTCTGAGAATCTTATCACTATTTACATAATATAGGAAACTGCTTTGAATTTTTATAAATTCACTCTAAGAACACAGCAGGGACTTGTTTTACTGCATGGATAGCCAGAAAGGCTCCAGACAAGTTTGAAGAGAAGTTGAGAAGCTAACATTTTCCACGTTGTAAATAAAGTGTATTATTATAAAATATAACTTTAAAAAATAACTCTATACCTTTTTATTTTTTAGAGTAATTTAAAAAGAATTAAGAAGTAGCTCTCCTGCCTGCCTCTCTTTTTATTTCTCCTTTTCCTAATAAACTGTCCTTTTAAAAGTGAGAAGAAAAGAACATGAGAAGCTAAAAGTAGTATTTTCTGAAAATAGTGGGAAATGTTTCAAAATTAATGCACAGATAAACACCAGACCAATTGAACATTTTAAATGTCTAAGTTAAACCAGAGAATCTTAAACAAAAGAATCTCATGTCATTCATCAAATAAAATTTGAACTTACCATTTATGTTTATTGCTGGTAACACAATTGACATCTTTGGTCTTGTGGTCTTGTTATGAGTGGTAGCTGGTAACAGCAGGTGATCCTAAGATTAACAAAGAAAAAACCAATCTGTTATACACAACAATTGGCTTCTTCCTATAATATGCCAAATTGAAGGTTACTAAGATGCCAACAACATTTCATTGGGATCACAACAAATGACAGGTTTTTTTTTTAATTTAAAAAATAGTAGTTTTCATCCATTCAACAGTATTTGTTATCAAATACCGCGTGCCAGACATAGTTGTAGGCCCCTGGGTACATCTGTGAACAATACAAACACCTCTGAGCTGGAGCAGCTTATATTCTCAAAGGAGAGACAGAAAGTGATACTAAGCCTGACAAGTAAGTAAAATACATATTACATTAGAAGGTGATGGATGTTGTGGGGGGAAAAAAAGCAAGGAAGAATTGCAGGGCACAGCAGTTAAGGGGACAGGGAGGATGTACTTTTAGAGAGATGGTAAATCTCCTCAGAAAGGTAACATCTAAGCAGATGAGGAATGTGGAAATGACTGCTAGAAGAATTTTGTTTTCACAAGCAAATTCAAGGAGTCCAAATCTAACCCCTCTCAGTGCCAGACTCCCTGCCCAGTCCCTGCAGAAAGCTCTCTCCTATTTCCAGCTCATTGAATGACATAACTCTTCATCTATGAAGCCAACAAGAGACCAAGGTACACAGAGAGCACCAGGGCAGAGTGGCCAAGAGTAAGGACTTGGATCCCAACTGTGTGTGTTCAACTCCCAACTCTGCCTTTCACTGACCTATTCCTGTTTTCTCATTTACAGTCTGGAGACAATACTTTTTTTTTTTACATACAGTTAATATGTGCATTAATGATCTGCTACCTTAAAGGGCTTAGAATTATATCAGGAACATAAAAGGAGTCAATAGATAATGATTCTCCCCAACTCCTCAGAAAATAACCAATCACTGAGTCCTGCATGCAAATATCTATCAAACACACTGACTCCTCTCCTTCAATAGCACCTTTCTAGTCCAAGTTACCAGCATCTTCCCCAGCCTTATTTATTTATTTATTTATTTTTTGTGTGTGGGACCCTCGCCAGCACCCAGGGATCGAACCGTTGCTGCAGAAGCTGCGGGCAGCCTCGCAGCCCAGCGCTCAACAGCTGCGCCACCAGGGGAGGCCCAGCCTTATTTTTTATGTTATTTTTATTGAGGTAACAGCATTGGTTTACAACGTTGTTTCAGAAGTATAGGATCTCTCCTTCAGGTGTTGTTACCACACCACACCCACTACCAAAACACCCACAGTCCACTGTGTTCCCTCCCCACCTGCTCCTCCCTATCCTCAATTCCCACTGGTAGCTTCAGTTCTACCATTAGATTTCTAGGGTTTGTTATTAGTTTAGCTTTATCTGACCCTTTGTTCTGTTTCTGTATATTCCACATACAAGTGTCACCATTGGTATTTGTCTTTCTTCTTCTGACTTAACTTCAATTTACATAATTCCCTCCAGCTCCATTCAAGTTGTCACAAATTGCAAGAGTTTATCTTTTTTGATAGCTGAGTAGTATTCCATTATGTATATATCACATCGTAATCTATTCATCTGTTGTTGGGCACTTAGGTTGTTTCTATAACATGGCTGTTGTACTTAGTGCTGCCATGAACATAAGAGTATGCGTTTCATTTCAAACTGATGGTTTTTTATTCTTCTGGTAGGTACCTAGGAATGGAATTGCTGGACCGTACAGAAGATCCATTTTTAATCATCTAAGAAAATGCCATACTGTTTTCCACAGGGGCTGGACCAGTTTACACTCCCACCAACATAGTATGAAGGCACCTTTTTCTCCTTATCTTCACCAACACTTGATTTTGGTCTTTTTTCATGTGGGACCTTTTCACAGGAGTGTGGTAGTATCTCTATGTGGTTTGGGGTTGCATTTCCCTGACAGTAAGCTGAGCTTTTTTTTTTTTTTCCCATATACTTGGTGGTTACAGTCTGCCTTCTTTGAGAAGCATCTATTTAGCACTTCTGCTCATTTTTTGCCTCTTTTTGTTGAGCTGTATGAGTTCTTTGTAGATCTTGGGTATCAGTCCCTTGTCAGATGCGTGGTGTACAAATATCTTCCACCATTCAGGGGGGTGTCTTTTTCTTTTAGTGACAATTTTTTTTTGCTCTGCAGAACCTATTTTCATTTAATATCCCCAACTATTTATATTCTTTTTTGTTTTTCTTGCTGTTGATGACAAATCCACAAAGATATCTCTCAAGCCTATGTTGTGGAGTGTGTTGCCTATGTTTTCTTCTATGTATTTTATGGTATCAGGTCTTTTATATAAATGACAGCTTTTATTTGAACTGGGTTTGGGGATAATTAACTAAAAATCATCTTATGATTCATTCAGTCATAAAACAATAAATAATTCCTGAATGCTTACTACTATCAGGTATTAGATAGTATTCTTGGAATACTCCTAGGTTCTGATAACAGCTATGGTATACTCTAAAGAGTTTTGTTGAAGGGCCTCCCTGGTGGCACAAGGGATTAAGATGCAGCATTATGAAGCTATATGCAGCTACTGCAGCACAAGTTCAATCCCCAGCCAGGGAGCTAACCCACATGGCTCAGCAGACCTCTCCTGTCTCACCTGCTGCTCCCCTCAGCAGTGTATTTCAGTCAATCTGCCTGTTCTGTTCCCCACTCAGTCTCTGGTGACTCCTCTCACCCCCACACTTCTGGCCTGTACCCCAGTTCTTATATGCATAAAAATAAATCTTTTTTTAAAATTAGAAAAAAAAATAAAGAGTATTGTTGAAGCAGTCAGAACAGAAGGATTTTAATTCTAGTGTGGCAATGAATAGCTATATGAATGATCTAGGTCTCTTTCCAGTCCTGTAAAATGATGGGAACTAGACTGGATGCTGTTCATAAGATACTAAAGTTTTCTAATAGTCATTTTCAAACATTTTGTTAAGAAGAGATACCTTCCCCACCTCAACCCAAGTTGGATACCGGGTACTGACTGACACATAAAAGAGATTCTGATTAAATGGGGCTTGGAATCTCTCTGCTTAGCCTCTTCTCTCCCCTTGAAGCCACCATAGTATTTAGTATTTCTAAATACTAAGCATTTCTAAGCATTTCTAAGCATTTCTAAATTTCTAAGCATCAGGTACACACTAAAAGGAGCTATAGTTCTTGTCCTTAAAAGGAACAGAGTTTAGTGAAAGAGTTAAAAAATTATAAATACATGTCTATCATAACTATGTAGTCCTAAACGTAACACTGCCAACTCTTAATGGCACCTGAGGTTTCTGACTTCTAACCATACAAATACTAAAAGTAAGAATGAGGCAAGAAAAATTTGGCTTCAAAAAAGAGGGAGTATAAATAGTGTTCTGGGAAAGGCATGTGCATCTGTAGATATTCCCAAGCTGGGTATAAATGACATAAGTATGTCATTGATATTAACTACAGTTTTCTATGAACTCCTCTTCTTACTAGCAAGACTATAGAAATTGTCACAACAAAAAGAAATAAAAAATAATCAAATGTACATTAGTGTTTCCATTTAAGGGAGCATGGTAAAACTGGTATACAGCTGAACTTAAGTGTAACCTCTTTCTTTGCTTTCTTTTCTTGTTCCTTTGCTCATTTGTTTCATCAATCAATCAACAAACTTGCTTTATTGCAGAACTCATAATAAAGTAGGATTTGACATAGTTGAGAGCAATAAAGATTTTTCAGTGTAACTTAGTTCAAAGTCAGTGTGATTATAAATGTAATTATCAACAAAGCTAAGGAAAAAATCCCGGATGTGAAAGACAAGAATTGCTATATCTGAACACAACGATATAGAAAACACTTCCAGTAACTGCTTGTGTTTTGTTTAATTCAAGACATTTCCATGGGAAAATATTTTAAAAGAGGGGGGTAGGTTAAAGAGGAGTAAAGTTGTTCTGTTAGAATTCCAGCACTACAGCATGGATGTTCTTTTTTTTTTTTTTTAAGTACATTGTTAGACACAAAGATCACACATTTCTGAGAGTAAGATAACATATTATGGAGAAGAAAAAACAAAATTTGCTGATTTTTATGCCATGAAAATGATAAAAAGCTTAATTACTATAATTAAAGTACTGCTTCAGGTCCCCAAATTTGAATGAGAAAACAAACCAACAAACTTGCAAGGCCCAAATTATGGTTACTGTACAAATAAACACATCAATTCCACTGGCCATGGGTTAAGGTCAGGTTGTGACTTCAATTTTGAGTTTCCTGCTAAGATCTAGATGTTGTTCTAAACACTGTGTTAAAACATGATTTTCTGAACATTATGTGTCGTACTCTCTCTTCATTAAATTTCAAATGAAGTAGTTATTTCGATGGCAGAAAGTCCAACAGCCACACTTTTGTTTATGAAAAACAAGAACCACATTTTAAATGCATTAAAAAAATCACTAATCTGTCTTAACTCTAATTATTAAAGTTTACTTATCTCATTTTTAAAAATAATTTATACATATGACCCTGGGTCAGTGCATTTACTTCATTTAACATTTACTTTGACTTCCTTAAATTAAATATTCCTCACCACAACAATGAATCTTGAATGCTTTTTCTCTCCAAAGGTTTATCTTACTCATTTTTTTCAGCATATCAATAATTCTATTAGTGACAAGTTGAGAAACAAAGCTTTATTTATTCAATCAACAAATATTTATTAACTTCTTACCATTCATTAAAAAAAAAAACTATTGAGCCTAGTAAGCATGTATTCAGCACTGTTTGTATATATATTTTTTAAAGAATGTAAACTCCAATTTTTATTTTGTTGGAGGGAAAAATGCTAATTATAGCAGACATAGCCATTTGTGCTCAGAAACTGCTTTCCTTTTATAACCTTAGAATAGAAACAAGAACATCCACATTAGGTGGGCACATTCACCAGAATAGATTCTGTGCTCTAACTCCTTGCAACCAAATAAGACGATAGATTCAAGTTCTGGCCGGTTGGCTCAAGAAGAATAATGTGTGCAAACTCAAGTTGGTGAGAGTGGAAGGCA